CTTTGAACATATATTTTTCCTCCATCTTTTTATTTAAATTAGAAACAAGTTTGTTTCACATGTCAATCCCAGTTCCCTCTCTCTCCCCTCCTCCCCTGCTCCCCACTAACACCCTACCATCCCATACCCTTTCTGCTCCCCGGAGAAGGTGAGGTCTCCATGGGGAGTCTTCAGAGTCTGTCAAATCCTTAGAGATAGGGCTAGGACCTCCCCCATGTGTCTAGACTGGGAGAGTATCCCTCCATGTGGGATGGGATCCCAAAGTCCATTCCCCTACAGTAGGGATAAGTACTGATCTATTACAAGGGGCCCCATAGATTTCTGAGGCCTCCTCACTGTCACCCACATTCATGGGTTCTGGATCAGTCCTATGCTGGTTTCCCAGCTATCAGTCTGGGGTCCATGAGCTCTCCCTTGTTAAGGTCAGCTGTTTCTGTGGGTTTCACCAGCCTGGTCTTGACCCCTTTACTAATCACTCTCCCCTCTCTGCAAATGGGTTCCAGTTCAGTTCGGTGTTTAGCTGTGGGTGTCTGCTTCTACTTTACATCAGATGCTGGATGAAGGCTCTAGGATGGCATGTAAGTTAGTCATCAATCTCATTATCAGGGGAGGGCATTTAAGATAGCCTCTCTACTGTTGCTTGGATTGTTAGTTGGTATCATCCTTGTAGATCTCTGGACATTTCCCTAGTGCTTGATTTCTCTTTAAACCTGGAATGGCTCCCTCTATTATGGTATCTCTTATCTTGTTCTCCCCCTGTGTCTTATCAGATCAGTACACTTTAAAGTTAGAATCCAACAACAACACAAATTGCAGAAATTGAACAATGCACAATTGCACAACTGCACCATTCCTGGGTCAAAGAAGAAATAAAGAAATTAAAGACTTCACAGACTTCAATGAAAATGAAGACACAACATACACAAACCTATGGGACACTTTGAAAGCAATATTAAGAGGGAAAGTTCATAGCTCTAAGTGCTCACATGAAGAAACTAAAGAATAGTCACACCAGAGAGTTGACAATACAACTGAAAGCTCTAGAACAATAGAAGCAAATTCACCAAAGAGGAGTAGACCCAGGAAACAATTGAACTGAGTGCAGAGATCAATAAAGTGGAGACAAAACAACCCAAAGAATCAATGTAACAAAGAGTTGGTTCTTCGAGAAAATCAACAAGATAGATAAACCTTTATCCCAACTAACCAAAAGGCAGAGAGAGAACATACAAATTAAAAAAATCAGAAATGAAAATGTGAACATAACAACAGACACTGAGGAAATCCAGTTAATCTTCAGGTCATACTTTGAAAACCTGTACTCCACAAAATTTGAAAATTTAAAGGAAATGGACAATTTTCTGGATAGATATCACTTACCCAAACTGAATCAAGAACAGATAAGCAACTTTAATAGATCTATAACCCCTAATGAAATAGAAGCAGTCATGAAAAGTCTCCCAACCAAAAAAAAAAAGTCCAGGGCCAGAAGGCTTCAGAGCAGAATTCTACCAGAAATTCAAAGAAGAGCTAATACCAATACTCCTCAAATTGTTCCACATAATAGAAGCAGAAGGTTCATTGTCAAACCCTTTTTACGAGGCTACAATTACCTTGGTACCAAGCCACACAAAGATTCAACTAACAAAGAGAACTATAGACCAATTCAAGAACATTGCTGCAAAAATACTCAATAAAATACTGGCAAATCAAATCCAAGAACATATCAGAAAAATCATCCACCATGATTAAGTAGGCTTCATCCCTGGGATGCAGGGTTGGTTCAACTATGAAACTCTATCAATGTAATCCACCATATAAACAAACTGCAAAAGAAAAACCACAGGATCATCTCACTAGATGCTGAAAAAAGCCTCTGACAAAATCCAACACCCCTTCATGATAAAGGTCCTGAAGAGATCAGGGATAACAGGAACATACCTGAACATAATAAAAACAATATAGAGTAAACCAACAGCCAACATCAAATGGAGAGAAACTCAAAATGATTCCTCTAAAATTAGGAACAAGACAAGGCTGTCCACTCTCTCCATATCTCTTTAATATTGTACTTGAAGTTCTAGCTAGAGCAATAAGACAACAAAAGGAGATCAAGGGGATACAAATTGGAAAGGAAGAAGTCAAACTTTTACTGTTTGCAGATGATATGATAGTTTACAAAAGTGACCCAAAAAACTCTACCAAGGAACTCCTACAGTTAATAAACACCTTCAGCAAAGTAGCAGGATACATGATTAACTCAATAAAACATCAGTAGCCCTACTATATACAGATGATAAATGGGCTGAGAAACAAATCAGAGAAACATCACCCTTTACAATAGTCACAAACAATATAAAATATCTTGGGGTAACACTAACCAAACAAGTGCAAGACCTGTATAGCAAGAACTTTGAGTCTTTAAAGAAAGAAACTAAAGAAGATATTAGAAAATGGAAAGATCTACCATGCTCTTGGATAGGTAGACCAACATAGTAAAAGTGGCAATCTTGCCAAAAGCAATCTACATGTTCAATGCAATCACCATCAAAATACTGGCACAATTCTTCACAGACCTTGAAATTAATTCTTTTAGGTCAGGAACAGTTAATGGAGTGGTCATAACCAGAGAAATAGGATGTGGAAAAACAGCATAATTACCAAAAGGAAGAAATAAAACTCTTCCGTTTAAATAACTAATAGAAACCTTCATAGTTGGGTGAGGCTTCCACTTAGGACAGTGAAAAAGAAGGGCAACAGAGAGCATCTTGGGGATTGCCAGGATATCAAAGATAGGCATGGATAAATAATTACCCACAGAAATGAAAGGAGATCATGTTACATTCCATATGCTGTCTACAAACTAAGGAAGTCTGTTACACATTTTAAAAGGGTTTTCCTAAAATAGCTATGATTATAAAAATATCAGAGCCTCAACAATCTGGAATATTCTCTTAGGGAACATCAAACCCACATAATAAGAGATGTGAGGCATTGCTATATATGAATCCAGCAACATAGTCACTATCTGCAATGTGACAAACTCACCAAAAATGGATCAGAATAATTGTGCCAAAGTGATTAAATGCCACTTATCCCCATGCTTATTAGAATGCAATGCCTGTATTTATAAAAAAAGTGTTAGCTAGCTCTCATAAGAAGATATAGGACAATGTGGAGCAAAGAAATGATGGTCATCTGTCCCGTGCTGGCATCCAAGAGTTGCAGAACCTTCAGGTTTGTTATTCTGGTCCAATCTTACAGTATGATAATCAATAATTTTAAAAACTTTTACTAAAAACAATGATTTTACTATGGCAGCTTCCATAATGTTTAGTAATGAGATCAACACACTGTGGAAAAGGAGGACGTGAAAATATGCAAGTGTCTCTCCTCTCCTTCTCAGCACATCAGACCTCTGCACACATGAATATATGTCTGCACTGCACCTGTGTAGCCCCAGCCACAGAACCTATGGACTATATATATCTGGTTTCTCAAGTTCTCCTTTCCTTTAAGATTTGTGACAGATTCTCCCGATGTGCTTTCTTTCTTCAATTCCTCTTTGAATGCATTTTTCCTGGTGTTTATTTGTAGGTTTTTTCTTCATGATCTAAAACCAATCTAACAGTTTACATTTGTTATCATACATGGGTATATTGTAGCATTTTATAAATCTGGGAACTAAGGCAAGGAGAGTATAATCTGACCAAGATTATAGCTGATTAGACAGTGAGATGGGATGAAAAGGTTGTCAGGTTTAAGAATCTGGTAATAGAGCCGGGCGTTGGTGGTACACGCCTTTAATCCCAGCACTCGGGAGGCAGAGGCAGGCAGATCTCTGTGAGTTCGAGGCCAGCCTAGAGTGAGTTCCAGAACAGCCTCCAAAGTCACAGAGAAAACCTGTATCGAAAAAACCAAAAAGAAGAAAAGAAAAAAAAAAAGAGAGAGAATCTGGTAATAGGCATGGAGTAGTAATTATGAGGTAATGAGTGAGTCAAGGCAGCAAAGTCCAGTGGTGCACGTCTTCTGGGCCACTAAGACCTGTGTTTATCAGGCTTATGACTATGAGAATTCTTTGTTTCTAATACAAAATAGAAACAATACTATATAACTTGAAGGTTACTATACTATTTAAGTATATGCCTATGCATGTGTCTGGCAAGTAGTGGTGATAAATGAATGATATCTATTACTGTCATCAGAATGTCTAATTTGGTTGATATTTATACTGTAAGTACTTAAGTCTCTGAATCTTACATAAAAATTAATGTTAATTAACTTCTTAAAAGCTAGGTATGGTGGCACATGCCTTTGATCTTAGCACTGGGAGGCACAGCTCAGTTAGTTCAAACCCAGCCTTATCTACATAGTGATTTCCAGGGCAGTCAGGGCTACACTATTTTAAAACAAAAACAAACAAACAAGCCCTAACTTCCTGAGGAATCTTCTCTTGGCATATGTTAAAATGAGAATATACCCTAGCTTTACATTTTCCTACAGAAGTAGGATTTTGAAACCTTGGGATTCCTGACATTTGGAACTCGTTCTGGGTTGTGGGGTGACTGTCTTTTAAGTACATAATGCTTAGAACATGGCCTTCATTCACCTAGATTTCTGTAGAATCCCACCTTGACTTATGACAACCCCAAATGTCTCCAATATTGTCAAATAGCACTTAGGGACAAGTCAATTGGTGAAGAACCACTGTTTTGGGATGTTACTAGGAAACTCTACAAGATAACAGGAAATACTACAAAAACTCCTCTGTATATGCAATTGTCTTAAGTCAAACACAACCTATAATAGAGAGCAAGAGAGCACATTTTTAAATTCTGGAAAATGCAAACGTGTGTGTGTGTCTTCTGCAGAATAATTAACAATGTGATACTCTGGGTATATATAGGTCATACTGAATTATTCTGAAATTATCTTCTACTTGGCCAAACAACTTTAGGACTGCTTTGATATCTATAAAGTCAAAGATTAAATCTACTCACCTTTAGGGCTGATGTGACAGTTTGCTCAGCTGCTGATGGGAATGAGCTCTGACTGGCAACCACCTAGAACAGAGTTTGATGCAGTTACAATTTTGCGTAAGTCATTTATTTTTGTAAACACTAATTTTTACCATAATATGACAAACTTCTCCAAAGATAATTAAAATATTATCATTACTTTATAATAATAATAATAATAATAATAATAATAATAATAATAATAATAATAATATCTCATACTTGCTTTAAAAATTAGTTCACTGAAAATTTTTATGTACAAAGCAAACAGACATTTCACAGTGGAATCATTAGAAATACAATTTTACTGATAAGATAAAGGTCAGAAAATGCCATATTTACTTATTTCTTTAAAAACATTCACTTTAAGCTGACTATTGTTTTCACAAATATTTAAAATATAAAATTCAGATGTTTGCATTTCTATAAATTAATACAAATGTTAATAAGGACATTGAAATAAGGCTTACTAGAACCATACTAATGGCCTCTGGTACAACAGAAAAATGACAAAAAGAAGTGAGTTGTGTACCCTTAAACGTATCTTGTCATTTTTATGTTTCTGACACCTACCTGGTAATTCTTCAGAATATATTTTATTAATGTATAAAATACATGTTTCAGAAATACAAACCGATGAAAGAACTTTTAAAAAATTACCACAAAATATGAGATAACACATGAAAATTAGTGCTAAAGATCACGTTTTGAGGAGAAAAAAAGATCATGTTTTGATTTTTGTTGTTGTGGTTGCTCCTTTTCTCTCGTTTTGCTATCTAGCACACACTGGCCTCCACATGCCTCCCCACCCCACCCCCCAAGCTTCTGCCTTAGCCCCTCAAGTGCTGTGATTATAGGCAAGCACCACCAAACCTGGCTTAGAAGTTCAGCATCCGTTGGCTTTCTGAATATTTATCTTTGTAAAATAAAGATAAAGGTTACCTTTGCTACTGCTTGGTACAACTTAAACAGGGAATTCACCACTCCTACATTTCTCTTCTGTCCTTCAGTGAGAGGCCCAATTACCTGGCTTGCATCTCCTTGAGTACAGAGCTGTAAAAATTCAACATACAAAGACATACCAAGATGACAAACTGTATCTCTTATTATTTAATTTTTTTAACCAGGAAGAAGTGCATATCCTGCTGACAAAGTATGAAGTATTCAGGTCATGTTAAGCAAAACTTTGGACTTCAGGCACAAGAAATCTCCATAGAGATAACACCTCAATGTTAACTCCAACTAGCCTTCTGAAGATGATCTCTTTTCAGATCCATGGCTGATGGGCCCTTGAGGCATGTGCACCCCAAATGCCCATGTGCCCTGTCAGCTGACACACTATCATAGTAACCTCAAAAACGCTGGCAACTGACAACAGGATTTTCTGAATTTAAACACTCAAATAAGTAATACCTTTAAAAGCAAGAAAAGACAGGAAAAAAACTTTGTACATATTTCACAACCATCCTCCATGGAAATGAGAGGTGGAAAGAGATAGTCGTCATCTTATTTTTCAGTCTTCTAAAAAGAAATTGCCCATGATTATATTTTGTGTGGGAGAGCGATAAGAAATAATATTAAGAACTTCCCTTTCTTGATCTTTACTTCTAAATACATAGTTTTAAGGGAAGGGATATGGACTACCTTATTAAACTAATCTCTATCTAAAACCCATGCATCAACTACTCTCATGATGATCCCATTATAACCTAATTCTCTGTAACATTATTATCCACAGGCAAACCTGACCAGGACATAGCGTAACTCACTGCAGAGCTGGCACAGGTCTCAAGCATATGTAACACTGGCTTTTTAGGAGATAGATCTGAAAGCATCTTTCTGCTGTTCTATAATCCAAATGAACCACCAGAAAAACAATTGCTACCTTTTCTTTCTCCTTTCTTTTGATAAATATTTATATATATATATATATATACATATATATATATATATATGTATATATATTATAAAAGGCAATACTGATTTATTAAAGTTGTCACCCATTATACAAATTACGAAGTCAACCTAAGACCTCTTGACAGCAGGTTAAAGAACTCATTTATTTTTACTTACAGCAAGGGCATATTTCTAACTTGAAATCAAATTATGTTCTAAAACAGTCACATTTAAGTATATACAGTAGAAAAAAATCCTCTTTTCCTATAATAACTATGTCAAAAACAATCAGCATTTGGAAGAGTCCACAAATCCAACTTAACCTACAATGTGGAAAACTAACCCAAGCATCAGTCTTGCAGGAAAGGGCTCAGTGCAGTAAAGGGGAGGGGCGGTGTAACGGTCCTAGGAAGGCATTTGGAGAATAGAATGGTAAAAGCAAAGTTGAGGGTAGGAGCTTATCCAAAATATTAATCTCACTGCAATGGGCATTTATGTCACAAGCTTCAGGGCATATGGTACATGTTTGTGGTCATAGCTTTCAAGGATACTAAGGCAGGGGAATTCAAGGCCAACAAAACTTTTTGAAAAAAATAAAAGTTATGGCCTGGACCAGTACAATTTTTAAAATTAAGATTACAGAGAGATTGCTGCTAGAAAACTGGAGCTCATTTTATTAATGAGGATTAGTCTTTTATGAAGTTTTGTAGCTATAGAAGCTGAATTCCCATCCACTAGTAGCTATACAGAATAATACATAATCACACGTTGGCAAGGGACTGGAGAACATGAGTGTTCAAAATAGCTCTTGGAGGTATAAAATAGAGTAATCACTTTGTATTAGGAGTTCCTCAAAAGTGAATGCAAATTCAACTATGTAACCTAGTAATTAAACCCACAGTTATATACAAGAGAAATTAATATGCATATTTACTCAGATGTATGCACACAATCACATGTTCATAGCAGTATCATTCATAAAGTAATCTAAAGTAAAAATAATCAAATATCAACCAATTTATAAATAAGGTAAAATGCAGACAATCAACATTTTTTGGCAACAGAAATGGAACAAAATTCTAATACATGGTTTATCATGGAGGAACCCTGAAAACATTTAAAGTAGAAGAAGCTAGTCATAATAGGTCATATAATAAATGATTATATTTCTGTGAGATATCTAGGATAGGGAAACCCACAGAAACGAAAGATTACTAGTTGCACTGAGTGAGGGATGAATGGGCATAAGCACTTCTTTTGGGGTAAATCTGGGTGTGAACACTGGAACTGCTGAGTCAGGTGCCCTAAGGCATATCTTTAAAAGTGCCTTGTGAGCCTCACTGTGTCCTCTCTGGGCTTCTCTGGGCTATTCCTTCACAGGGTTACTTCTCTTCACTGCTTCTCTTCCTCATTGTCCCTGTCTTCTTCTCCTCAAAAGAAAACTGCTCAAAATGCACCAAAGTTATTAATGCTGACATCTCCACCTGATTATTCTGTGTTGTTAGGGGCTGTCTTGTGCATTGTAGGATGGCTTGGCAGAATCCTTGACTTAAAACAATTAGACACTAGCTCCCTGCCTGGGAGAGGGGAAGAGAGAACAAAAAACCCTCTTTGGTAGAAGACTAAGGGAGTATACTGAAGATCCTGCTTTGTCTTCTCATGAGAACTCCATATGTATTTAGTGATTATTCAACATATTTGCTATTTCAAATTTAATGTTCTATTCTCCTTTCAATTTTCTTGTATCTCAGCAAATGCTATGCCCCACTATGAGCATTCTGGGCTAGTAACAAATTCTCCATGTTTAATTTGTCGCCAATTCCCTCATACCAGATCCTTTTAGTAATGAGCACTAAGAGTATCTTAGTATCTAAAATTATTCATTTTATATGTACACATGTGTGCCTGAGACTGTGTATGTGCACCATATGCAAGCATGAGCCTATGACATGAGAAGAGGGTATCATATCCTCTGGAACTGGAGTTACAAATGGTTGTGAGCCACTATGGTAGTAAATGGAAACTAAACCTGTGTCCTCTATACGAGCAGTAAGTGCTCAACTGAAAGGCCCGCTGCCTCTCTGTCTCCCCCCGCCTATGCTGATGCTGG